GAAAAAGAAAAACAAAGTGAGCCCTAGGATTGCATTAGCTCATTGCCCAGAGGCAGATTACAGGTATCAGGTCAAGGAGGGCACACTGAAAAGGAGCCTAGTTATCTCTCTGAGTTGAGAAAACAGATGGAGTACGAGGAAGCCAAACAAGAAAGCTCAAATTTGTAGGGCAGAGTACTAGAGAGGACAGAAGTCAGGGGAGAGGGAGAGAAGCAAGAAAGGAAGGAAGTACTTCCAGCAATTTGCTGTGGGGCTTCCCTTGAATCTTTGGGTAAGAATTGATCTGTGCATATATAAAAGGAAACTACTCAAGGCTAAAGAAAGAATCACCAGAACACAGGACTGAAAATCGTTCCTATTTCCATCCAGTGAGAGCAGAAAAACCTTGTCATCTGGCATAGTTCTCAGGCATCATCACCTTAGTAATGGGAATATATTAGATGTGTACTAAAGCTTAAAAAGGCTCAAAAGCAAACCTCAAAAGTAAAAATTTGATTCCAGGTAATTTAATCTCATGAAGAGTAAAGTACAATACCATGTAAAAGAATACAACAAAATCTAGCACCAAACAGTATAAACTTCACAATATACAGCATCCATTAAAAAATTATGAGGTAAGCAAAGAAGCAGGAAAATATTATCCATAACCAGGAGAAAAATGGATCAATAGACCCAAACCAGAAATGATAAGATGATAGAAGGAGCAGATAATGATAAAACAGCTATTATATATAGAACCTTTATGCCTAAGAATATAAAGACATAATAGGAATGAGGAGCAAAATAGAAGGCATCCAGAGAGACCCAAATACGCCTTCTAGAAGTTAAGGAAAAATATTTATATGAGCTAGCATATATTAAATGAAAAATATATCTCGTGGGGTTAATAGAGTAGAGACTGTAGGGGCAAAAAATCAGTAACCTTGAGGACAGATAGAAATTATCCAAAATGAAGCCAAGAGAGAAAAAGGACTGAATAAAAATGAACAGAGCATTAATGGGATAATAGTTTGGAAGTTCTTGTGGTTACCCTAGAAATTACAACATGATTATTTGACTTTCAGAATTTAGTATTCATCTTTATCTTGTACCTGTTCATGGAAGATTTGAGAACCTTAGGACACTTATTATGTATATGAATATATAAACATATATATATGTATATATATATATACACACACACACATTTACTCATGTATGTCATAACATCATTTCTTGTGTGTTTTTTGGTTGTTCATTGTGATTTATCCACGTCCTCACCACTTTTTAAAGAAAGTCTTTATATTTTTAGAAAAGTTTTACGTTCACAGCAAATTAAAAGGAAGATACATAGATTTTCTGGATACTCCCTGATGCCACAACTTATCAACATCCCTCACCAGAGTCATAAATTGGTTACAATACACAAACCTACATTGACACGTCATAATCACACAGAGTCCATACTTTATGTTAATACTCACTCTTGGTGTTAGACATTACGTGGATTTGGACAAATGTATAATGACATGCATCTGTCCTTAAATATTATACAGAGTATTTTCACTGACCTAAAAAATCTGTGCTCCAGCTATTCATTCCCCGTCCTAACCCCCAAAACCTGGCAATCACGGATGCTTTTACTGTCTCCATAGCTTTGCCCTTTCTAGAATGTCATGTAGCTGGAATTATATAGCATGTATCTTTTACAGATGGGTTTCTTTCACTTAGTAATATACATTTAATTTCCTCCATGTCTTTTCACAGCTTGATAGCTCATTTTCTTTTTAGTGCTGAGTAATATTCTGTTGTCTGGATGTGCCACAGTTTATCCATTCACCTACTAAAGGACATCTTGGTTGCTTCCAAGTTTTGGCAATTATGAATAAAGCTGCTATAGAGTGCTGGGCTGGCTCGGTCAGTAGAGTGTGTGACTCTTGATCTTGGGGTTGTAAGTTCAAGCCTTATGTTGGGTGTAGAGATTAAAGAATTAAAAATGAAATAAAAATTTTTAAAAATGCTATAAACATCTGTATGCAGGTTTTTAGATGGACGTAAGTTTTCAACTTCTTTTGGTAAAACCAAGGAACATGATTGCTGGATTGTATGGTAAGAGTACGTTTAGTTTTGTAAGAAATTCCAAACCTTTCAAATTGGCTATACCACTTTTATTCCCACCAACAATGAATGAGAGTTCCTGATGCTCCACATCCTTATTAGCATTTGGTGTTGTCAGTGTTCTGGATTTTGGCCGTTCTAATAGGAATATAGTGGTATCTCATTGTTTAAATTTGCCTTTCCCAAATGACATGATGTGGAGCATCTATAATATAAAAAGAATTCTTACATTTGAATACTTATACTTTCATATACTTACTTGTCATTTATCTGTTTAAGTGAAGTGTCTTAAGGTATTTGGCTCATTTTTAATCAAGTTTTTCTTATTTTTTACTTTTAAGAAGTCTTTGTATATTTTGGGTGATAATCCTGTATCAGATGTGTTCTACAAATATTTTCTCCCAGTCTGTGGCTTGTCTTATCATCTTCTTGACATTGTCTTTTGCAGAGCTGAAGTTTTTACTTTTTTTTTTTTTTTTTTAAGATTTTATTTATTTATTTGACAGGGAGAGACACAGCCAGAGAGGGAACACAGCAGGGGAAGTGGGAGAGGGAAAAGCAGGCTTCCTGCGGAGCAGGGAGCCTGATGCAGGGCTCTATCCCAGGACCCTGGGACCATGACCTGAGCAGAAGGCAGACGCTTAACGACTGAGCCACCCAGGAGCCCCTGAAGTTTTTACTTTTAATAAAGGCTGGCTTCTCTCTCTCTCCTCTAAAGAAAGGAGGGGGGTGCCTGGGTGGCTCAGTCGGTTGGGCATCCAACTCTTAATTTTGTCTCAGGTTATGATCTCAGGGTTGTGAGATTGAGCCCTGCATCAGGCTCCATGCTGCATGTGGAGTCTGCTTAAGATTCTCTCTCTCTCTCTCTCTGCTCTTCTCCCTGCCCACCCCCCAAGAAAAGGCTGGTTTATTCATTATTTCTTTTATGATCATACCTTTGGAGTTGTATCTAAAATGTTATCATCATATCCAAGGTCATCTAGGTTTTCTCCTAGAAGTTTTACAGTTTTGCATTTTATATTTAGGTCTGTGATCCATTTTGGGTTAATTATTTTTTTTTAAAGATTTTATTTATTTATTTGACAGAGAGAGACAGAGCAAGAGAGGGAACACAAGCAGGGGGAGTGGGAGAGGGAGAAGCAGGCTTCCCACTGAGGAGGGAGCCCGATGCGGGGCTCGATTCCAGGACCCCGAGATCATGACCCGAGTCGAAGGCAGATGCTTAATGACTGAGCCACCCAGGCGCCCCTTGGGTTAATTCTTGTTAAGACTGTAAGGTCTGTGTCTAGATTCTTTTTTTTTTTTGCATGTGGATGTCCAGTTCTTCTAGTACCATTTGGTGAACAGACTATCTTTGCTCCATTGTACTGCCTTTGTTCCTTTGTCAAAGATCAATTGACTGTATTTATATGGGTGTATTTCTCAGTGTCTATTCTGTCCCATTCATTTATTTGTCTATTCTGTAGCTAATACCATACTGCCTTGTTACTGTTTACCACTTTTCCTTCACTCTCCATTTCTTGCTATATTTCTGAGTTATTATCTAGAATAATTTTCCCTGAGCCTGGAGAATATACCTTTTAGAACCTTGTCCTTCCTAGACTTTGGATACTTTATCCTTTGCCTGGAAGGTCCCGGGCCTGTACTTCTCTGGCTGGGAGGTGTTTGCTTTTCCACTTTGGCATCTATGAATTTCACTTCATTTTACCCTTGGCTATGTAGTTAAATTTTTTGTTCCTATTTTATCCAACATTTCAGTGTGTTTGTTTAGGCAGTATATTTTAGTGGTTCCTGGCACCTCTTTGTCAACACTTTGTATTGTCACTCTTTTGATTTTTAGCCATTTTGGTGAGTGTGAGGTGGTATCTGAAATACGTTTTTTTGTATTTCCCTGATGACTGATGTTGAGGGCCCCACCCCCTATTTTTTGTGCTTTAGCTCAATTTTTGGTGTCTCCAGTTTTATTCTGCTTCATGGTAGATTTTTATTTTGGGGGAGAGGACAACTTTTCTTCAACTCTGAAGTTGTGGTTTTTATTTTTTGTTTTCTTCTAATGGTAGCTTCGTATGGTTATCATCTGCCCCATTCATCTGACCCCGACTGGCTTTCTTTTTCTTGGGGTGATTTTTTCTGTGTTTTATCACCATGAGAATCCTCACTTCCTTCTTCTCTTTCCTTAATGGGCTCAGTAGTGTCCACCAGGTTCTTTCTACAGCTTGGAGTCTGGAGCTGGGTCTGGTGTATTTGAGTTTCACTACTTATAAGAAATATGAAGTTGTTGGTAGAGAATGTGGCTAGATAGGCTAGAGGAACCAGTGCCCACAGTGTATGAATAAACCAGAGACCAGGTGAGGAGGAGCATAGATGAAACTTTACTATTGTTACATGAACTGTTACTTTGGACACAGATATCTTGAAAACTGAAATCTTGATAATTGAAAATGGAAGTTGGTTATACAAGCACAAATACTTCAAGGAAAAACATCTGTGTATGTTGGACTGAGGAAGATAAGGAGCCTGCATGTCTCTCCATCCATATATTTAAAGAATTTTAAAAATACATTTTCCAGGATAATCGTTTAACACTTGGAGAAATCTATGTTTTTGGATTTACACTGTCAAAGTTTGGATCTATGCGTAAATATCATTTTAATTTTTAATTTAAATTTTAAAATTTTCACCTAGATGTTTTTTCACTATGTCAGTGCATCATTTACTTGTTTCGGAAACAGTAGTGTTCTGAACGTTTTCTCATCCAGATATTTTCAGAAGGATTTTTTGGATAGATGAGAATCTTATTAAGAATAATCTTCTAAATATATCTACTTGGGGCCCTCACTTCAACAGTTTCAAGGACCATTTCCTTATGAATAACCTGTTGCCTTATATAAATAATTTTTCAGCAAACACTGAGAAGAATGTGCTACCTTACCATCAAAGAAATGGCTACAATATCTGAGGATGTGATAATTGTCACGAGCAGGTATGTGAATGGTCAGAACCTAACCTGGAGTACTTATATATTTAGTGGAATATTTGTTGTTCTTTTTCTATTAGTTTTACTTTTTTGACTGTAAGAAAGCAAATAGGAATTAAAAAAAAATCTTAAAGCATTCTTTCCTAAAATGTGGTTGTCATCATGTGAAAACCATGTCTATCTGATAAAGCAAAGAAGTCACAAAGGGTAATGCTAACGGATTTGCTAATACATTTTAAATGTTCATAATAATATGTAAACAGAACCAAAATGTAAATGATACATTGACATAAAATATTTACAATAAGTATATCAAAAGGCTAGTATATATAATATGTAAAGAACTCTTCTATTTCAAAAAAATTCCAAGTGATAGTTCTTACAATAACCAATATAAAGGATCTGGTTGTTTTTAGTCATTCTCTCATAACCAAAAAATGTAAATTAAGAACTCAAATGAGTTATAAGATTTCTACCCATCAAATTGGCAAAAAAGAAAAAAGGCAGTAGGTGCTTGTAAGGGAGACTGATATTCTTGTATATACAGGAGGCAGAATAATAAATTGATTCAGGTTTTCTAGAAAGCAGTTTGACAGCATTCAGATGTTGAACATTTGAAAAGTTTTATCCCTTTGACACAGTAATACCATGTCGATGGAACTATGCTCAGAAAATAATCAGAGATAGCACAGGAAAACTTATATGTAATAATGTTCATTGCAACACTGTTTACACTGGCAGAAAGGGTGAAACAATTTAAATGTCTGCTATTGTTGAATTTAATTATATATAAATTAACCATGTCATAATCAGATTATGGGATTATTTTAATTTTTTGAGACATCTTTAATGATATGGAAAAGTCCTCATAAAGTGCTGAATGAGAGTTGGATTCAAGTCCATGTACTTTATATAGTCTCCCTTTAAAACATATTTTATGTACATATATAAAAATATATGGATGGAAATATGCTGATATATTACCAGTAGATTATCTCTGGGTGTTTGGGATTATGGCTATTTATTTTCTTTAAAATTTTGAAAATTTCCCAGTGTCCTGGAGTCAGGATGGATAATCTAATTATTAATTATAATTCATTTAAGTGAATTTGGTCTTTGTACAACAACATAAATTTTGGAGGAGGGTGCTTGTTTTTAACCAGCAGTTGTATTGAATAAGTTTCAATTAGTGAAGCTTTCGGCTGAAAATAACCGAAAGGCAGATGTAGACACTAGGCATAGAGTAGCTAGCGTTGGTTCAGTAGTGCAACAGTGTGAGGGCTGGTGTCTCTTGAATCTCACAGGATTGCAGAATAGATGCCTGAATTACTGGCAGTGCACCATTCAAGGTGGGAGGGGTACCGGGAAGGGGGCCAGGGAGGGCCAGCACCATCTGCCTCTTTTATCAGGTATGCAATAGCTTTTCCCAAGGCAATTTGTAGATTTCATTTGACACAGCTGTGTTATACAACTCTCGACTCTTGTTAGGACCAGGAAAGTGACGATTTCGCTTTTAAAGGCCAAGTATTGGGGGCAGGCAAGGGAGAAGGGGTTGGAAATGGGTATTGGATTAGTTAGCTAACAATATTTGCCACAAGTAACAAACAGAAAATCTTCACTTGGATTGCTGTACTCACTAAATGTTGGAAAAATTAAAAATAGATTAGGGTTTTTTGTTTGTTTAGCTGTTAGTACTTCCTTCTGAATCCTGTTAGGCTGCCATGAATTATGGTTTGCTTCTAGCTCATTTTAAGAGATTAGTAGATGTAGTAGGCAGAATAATGGCCATCCAAAGATATCCCTGGCCTAAGTCCCAGGACCTACAATATGTTTCATTATACCGCAAAGGGGAAGTAAAGTTGCTAATCAGCAGGTAGGGAGAATAGGGTGGATGATGTAGGTGGGCCCGATAAGGGTCCTTAAAAGTGGAAGAAGAAAGTGGAAAGGTCAGTAAAGAGATGTGATGATGAAAGCAGGTCACAGATGCGATGTTGCTGGAGGAAGGGGGCTGTGAGCCAGGGAATGTGGGTGGCCCCAGCAGTTGGAAAAGGCAAGGAAATGGATTCACCCCTACAGCCTCCCGAAAGGAGGCCTGCCGATACCTTGATGTTATCCTGGTGAGACCTGTGTTGCATTTCTAACTTACAGAACTGTAAGATAAAGAAGTGAACGTGGTCTTTGGTCTTTAAGTTTGAGGTGATTTGTTACAGTAGCCATAGAAAACGAGTAGATCTTGTATAAGCATCAAATCAACACATTGTGTACTTTAAAATTATACAATATTATATGCCAATTATATCTCAAAGCTGTGGGAAAAACTACTAGAGATTTTGGTACCTGGAAGTGGGGTACTGCTGTAACAAATACCTGAAAATGTGGAAGTGGCTTTGGGAATTGGGCAACGAGTAGATGCTGGAAGAATTTGGGGGAACATGACAGATAAGGCCTACATTGCCTTGAACAGAGTGTTAGTGGAAAGCTGGATGTTAATGACCTTGGTAGACTCAGAAAGAAGTGAGGAGCAGGGTAGAGAAAACACCACTGTAGAGAATGCTCAGATCCTTGTGAACATACTCTTGGTAGAAATATGGACACTAAAGGTACTGCTGGGAGGCTCAGAAGGAAATGAGGAAGGTGTTAGCAACTGGAAGGAAGGGGACCCTGGTCCTGTAGTGGCAGAGAGCTTAGTAGGATTGTGCCTGCAGTTATATAGAAATCAGGACTTGTGAGCTTGGATGTTTAACTGAGATTTCCAGAGTGTCAAGGTGTGGCCTGGTTTCTTTTTACCACTTACAGTAGAATTTTGAGACTAGAGAAATAAATTGAGGAGACACCTGTTTAAGAGCCAGGAGTTCTTTACAAAAATCATTATGTTGTGCACCTGAAACTGAGACGTTATATGTCTGAGACTCTTACAGCAGCAGCACCACTGCTAGTCTGGACTGAAAGGGACAGAGAGAGGACAAAGTGAAAGAAGGTTGTCAGAGTCCCAAATTCTCCGATAGGAAACCGGCCGAGAAGACTGCTCAGCTTTAAACATGCGCCGCCCTCACAAAAAGGAAGGATGGCTCTGAGGGCAGGGTTGCAGGCCCATAGTGTGGAGCTGAGAACGATGGAGAATTCTCCCCAGCACCTGAAACCTTCTCCAGTTTGCTTGGCTGGATTTCAGAATTGCTTAGGACCAGTGACTTTTTTTTCTTCTTTTTTTTTCATTCCATTTTCTCCTTGTGAACAGCAAAGTCTGCAAGTGCTATCCTGTGGTAGCCCCACCCTTGTATTTTGGGTCAGACAACTTGTTTCCTAGTTTCACAGGCCCACAGGTGGAGAGGAATTTTGCCTCGGGAGAGAGTATACCCAGTCTCACCCGTACCTAACTGATTTTGATGCTAAGGTCAGGATTTTTGAATCAGTGGGATTTCGATGAGCTTTTGGACTTTGAGTTGGTGCTGTAATGCGTTGAGATCTGGGGGGATCTTGGGATGGGGTGAATGTATTTTGCTTCTGAGATGGATGCAGCCTTGCTGACACAGTGATCTTAGCCCAGTGAGCCCTGTGTTGGACTGCTAATCCGCGGAACTGTAAGAATCTTTTCTTTGAAGGCACTAATTGTGGTCATCTGTTACAGCAGGAATAGAAAACTAATAGAGTAGATGACCCCTCTGCATATGTAGACAGTTGTGCGACCTTGCTGAGAAACCATGGAGATTAAAAATTCTGAAGAAAATCAGACACTTCATAAAAGGATATACAAATGGCCAAGAAATACATGGAAATGTTCTCAGTATTATTAGTCATTAGGGAAATGCAGATTAAAACCTCAGTGAGATATCCTTCCATACCCACTAGAATCTTCGTTAAAATAACAAAACCTGACAACACCAATCAACAAGCCTGCTTCAACACCAAGTATACTGTAGGTGGGAATGTAGAATGATACGATCGCCTTAGAAGAACTTATGCAGAAAACTTATAAGAGGAAAAAATAATTTAAAGCCCTGAAAGACTCAAAGTATATTTGAACGAATGTACATGTTTTTGAGTAGATCAATTAAACATCATAAAGTTCAGTGCTCTCTAATTTGTAAAATCGGTGCAGTCTCAATGAAAAAAATCAACGGGCTATCTATTTTGGAGTTAGAAAAGTTGATGCTAAAGTTTACATGGAAAAACCAACATTTAAGAATAGCCAGGAAGTAACTGTAAAAGAAAAACTGTGAGCTCTACCAACCAGTGCAGTATTGAGGCCTGAACACTTAAAACAGTGTGGTACTGACACATGAATAGACCCTGGAATAAAATTGTGTGATGACTCTGTAATGAGTCACCTTGGCCATGCTGATCGACATTTTCAGAATTTTCTGGTCCAAATGGAAAGCATAGAATTAGACCCAAATACATGTGGAAATTTAGTATTTGCCAAAGTGGCATCTCTAATCACTGGGGTAAACAGGTACTTCTTAATATATGATGCTGGGACAACTGAGTAGTCACTTGGAAAAATAAAATTAGATCTATATTTCACATCCTGTATACAAATAAACTCTAAATGGATAAGGAATATAAATTTTAAAAATGAAAGCATGCAAGTACTAAAAGAAAAGATGAGTATATTCCTCTTTATTTTTGTTGTAGGGAAAAGCTTTTGTTAGGACTACAGTTCCAGAGGCAATGAAAGAAAAGATTGATTAAATTTGACTACCTAAGTTTCTCTTAATCAATGGCAAAAACACCACATAGAAGATGATCCAGGGGTTTTCAGTAGGTCTGAGTTGTATAGTTTCTTACGTTCATGGTATCCTACACAGCATTGCCACTCATTTTATGGCAAAAATGGTGTGACAGTAGGCTCATGACTTAAGAGATCCAGTAGTTTTACCATATTCTGTTTCACCTAGGAGCTGACAGCCTAGTGGGATGATGGGATGACCTACTGAATGCTCAGATGAGGTAGTAGGTTAGAGATGGGACCCCGTTCAGTTAGAAAATTCTCCTGTGGGATGCAGTCTGTGCATTACATTGATGGTCAGTGTAGTGTATGGTACCAATAAATACAATATGTGGGTCCAGGAATTAAGAGGTAGAAGTAGCACATGCTTTTCTCACCTTTGCTCCCAGTCACCCACTTGTAGAACTTATGCTTCCCATCCCCACCCAGAATGTGGGTTAAAGGCCCTGTTTCCCAAGGGACAGTGTTTTCAGGGATGAACAGGGGGAAGCATTTAACCCATTGACTTCTAGCTCCCACTGTTTGAGGATTGCCTTCAGCACAGAAATAACCCACGCTTCTGGATCTATGTGTCTGAGTGACAAGTTGGCAACCACAGGTACCCCATACTCCAGTGTCAGAGGAGTCCTGGGGCAGACAGGGAGCCAGTTTGCACATTCGAAATGATGACTACTGTTAGGCTGCTTTGGATTATTTATGTGGGGGACCAGCAGGTAAAGAAAGGAGCTGCTGCCCTCATAGAGGTAATTGACCTTGATCACTGTCAGGAGCTAGGCTTGTTGCTATACAAACGTGGAGGAGAGGACTGTATCTGGAATTCAAGGTATTGAGTATATTTTGATGTGTTCATGCCTGAGACAATGGTGAATAGAGAATAGGGAACAGCCAGTGGTCCAGCCCTGGTAAATCTCCAACAAAGAGCTCAGATTCTTTGGGATAAAGGTTTGAGCCACTTACCAGACACCTGACCAAGATAAGCTAAAGTGCTGGCTAAGAGTGAGGGAAATATAGAAGGGGTGATTATGGGAAGGAGATGGTGAATCTCAGTTACGGCTTTGGAATGTGTTGTAGCAGCAAGGATTGTACCATATTCCACTCCTTTTCCTGTGTCTTGTAGAAATAGTGGATGGTTACCATCTTGAAGACTCGGTGATAGGTTAGATTTAATGGAGGACACGTTCAAGTTTGAGGGGTGCAAAGGATGGACTGTTCTGGGTGTTGCTTTTGAGCCACCTCACATTTTCTCAGGCCTTCTCTGTGATCCCAGTTCTGCTTGCAGTCAGCTGCTCCGGGCAGGGTTCAGCTCCCTTGCGTCCATAGTGCCTCACTCCAAGCATACGCCGTGTGTTTGGCTTCTTGCCCTGCACTTTCTCTGGCACTCCAGTTTGGGCACTCACCTGGAACTCACCTGTGGGAGTTAACATGTGAATTTAACCGAATGGGGAGTTAACACTTTGGGGTTAACCCTCTGCCAGTGGGTGGCTAAGACCTAGTGGGTAAATTCTTTCCTTTTCATCCCTTGGAAATGTGGTTCCGACATGGATCTCTTAAGGGTCCTCAGAAGATCGCTCATTAAGTAACTAGTTGCCTGCAGCAGTGACCCACTAGAGAAAATTTCTTTGTATTAATTTCCCTCCTTCCCTCCCTGTCTTCCCTTCCCTTCCCTCAGAACACATTCCCAAATAAACTACCTGTCTGTAAGCCTTTGTCAGGGCAGCCCAAACTAAGAGAGAAACATGGAGCAGTGGTTGGCAAACTATGGCCCATGGCTAAAACTGCCGCCTCATTTTGTAAATAAAGTTTTATTGGAACACAGCCATGCCTATTTTTATGTATTGTGCATGGCTGCTTTCATGCGGTGCAGAAGCCAAGGAGAGAGAGACCTTAGAAGAAACTGAACCTGCCAAGCTTCAGTTTTTATCTAATTGGAGAAATGCAAATATTTATGAAAAAGACTGGTTGATAAATTATTTATATCTCAACAGTGGAAATCTGTGTCACTATTAAAATGATATTTTAGATATATATTTGGATATTTAAAAATATATAGATACCTAAAATTGAAAAAAAAAATCTACCAATAAGGAAAGATTCTTAAGCTATATTAAGTGAAAAAGGGAGGTGCCAGAAGAGTGGAGTTCACCTGCATGTGTTTTTATGTCTCTATGGTCTTATAGATTTTTAAAAAGTTCCTTAAGAAAACATAAGCGATGGTTCACAATGACGGTCTTTAGCTGAGCGGCACTAGAGGCGAGGGTGGGTGAGGCAAGACTTGGACTTTGTATTTTATACCCTTCTGAATGTTTTCAAAGTGTACTCATATGAAAATATTTTTTTAACTAAAAAAATAAAGAAACTGAAGGACTATCAGTTCTTCACAATTTTCTCCTCTTGGCATCCTGATGGGGCGAGGTGGAGTTGTAGGCTGTTTTGGACCCTGTGAAGGGGAGGCAAAAGGGGGAGGGGGATGAATAGTCCGCTTGGGGGGCAGGAAGATAAAAGGGTGAGTAACAGAGTATAGAGGCTAAAAACCTCTTTAAAGTATGGGCACGGAAGTCAGTAGCTCCGTCCAACTCCTCTGCTTATTTTTTGAGATGCAGTAGAAAGGTCTGAAGGCATTGACCGTTGTTTAGAAAGCCGTTCCTGAGAGAGAGCACGACCTTGTGAGTTAATCATTGTAGTTCGTGTCTTTTGAGGAGTTGTCTAGTCTGATGGGTTTTTAGGATTTGGGGGGATTTTGGCCTGTGGTTCTCTAGACCATTGTCTTTACTTTTTATGCCAGTTATCAGTATCTAAAATTATATATTTTGTTTATGTGATAGAGTATATTATCTCTCCTCTCATTAGTATGTTAGCTCCTTGAAGGCAAAGACTTTGTTTTGCTCCCTGCTCTATTGGGATTTAGAACAGCCTTCTACCCGATAGTTTTAATATTTATCTGCAGAAGACAGTGAATATCTGCCGAATTAATCACTGCATTAAGATAATTATGGGGACAATTGGAATTAGCTAGGGGTGGACTCCACAGGAGAGATGTTAATTGATTCATGGTAACTCATTTGATTTTTTTTTTTTCTTAGTCTGACTAAGGACATGACTGGAAAGGAAGATGTGTACCGAGGCCCAGCCATCAGGGCTCTCTGCAGAATCACTGATGTAAGTTCTCTTTGTTTCCTGAGGCATAAAAGGGACACTGCGTTTATCTACAGGTGGCCATGTAAATTTAATAGGATTCCCTAGTCTGACTCTGTGAATCTTCAGTATTATAGAAACATGACCACCAGAAAGGCTTTTGTGCCTCCAGGCTTTTTTTTCTTTCAGGTCGTCTTTTCTTTTTGTTTATTTAGATTAGTCTATTTTCTCTGTATTTGCCCTCACGGAATTTTGTTGTAGTCAGGGAACGTTGCTTGTGGGAAACCAAAACCCATTTGAATTTATTTTTTTTAAACTTTATTATAGGAAATAGATCTCTCAGAATTTGAGGTAAAGCTTACAACGGATGCCAGAACAAGAAATAGGGCAGCTCTAAGGAGCTCAGCAGCAAGATTTCTCGGATATTTACAGTTATGATCCATCACTTAGCAGGCTCAGGCCTCCTCATTGAAATATTTGAGAGACCCTGGTTAGCCATCAGCCAGCCAGTGGCTTGTAACCATGTGGATCTGAGTCAGATCTGATCCCTCACATCTGGAGGGATGAGGTTATAGAGTATGTTGGGCTGTCCCTTTCTAGGAACTCTGAGTAGGAAAGGTTAAAATGAAAGGCAGGCTGGGCATTGCCAAGCATCTTGAATAATATTTCAGCTACATTCACGCCTGGGTATATTTTGTGTGGATGGTTACAATCTTCTCAGGTTTTAAAGGTTGAGTAAGAGTAAATGGTAAGTCCGGATCCTAAGAGGAGTAATAGAAATGGTACAATGGTACAAACAGCCGCTCAGCTGTTTGGCTGTGGTTGTTTTTGTTTTTCATATTAAATTGGCCGTGTAAGACGTGACAATGGCAGTGCTATAGCAGTAAGCCTGTCTACTTGAATATTGATCTTAGGTCTGTTTACACACCTTCATCTGCTACCACCTTCCCAGTGCTCAGCTTTCCTCCAGTTAAATTTAAAAAGAATTTTATTTTCAGAGGAGTTCATATTGAGAGCTCACTGTAGTAGTGTATTAAACATTTAATTCTCAGTTATCTAAAATCAGGGATTACATTTGATTTATAGGACTCTATGGGATCCATATAAAATTCATCCCCTTCATACAGAGGCATCTTCAGAATTTCAAAACAGCTCCATCCCCATCTAGGAATTTCTTTTATAACAGCCCTGAGTAAGTTGAGCCTGTACTTATGCCTTTGCTCAGACTGGGATTCTCCACTTTGAGACCGTTGATTTCGTTGTTGAACAGTTCATTTTTTTCCTTCCATATACTCTTAAAAAGTCCTCTTTGAAGATTCCACTCAGTTGTCTGGGTCCTGCCCTCTGGGATAGGATTATCTGTTACATGATAATCCTTATAATGCATTCTAAATATTGGCACAGAAACAAATAGATGACTGGTTTTTGTAAATTATTTTGAAGCAGTTATTTTGGGTGAAACTGTTTTGCTTCAACAGTGTTTTCTTTATGCATGTTATCAGGGAACAATGTTACAGGCCATTGAGAGATACATGAAGCAGGCCATCGTGGACAAAGTCTCCAGCGTATCCAGCTCTGCACTGGTGTCTTCCTTAGTAAGTGAGCAAGTAGCTGCCTGGGTCTTACAGGCGCTACAGTGTCTGTGGGAAAAACAAAATATCACTGCGATTTCTCACAAACGCAACATTCACAAAATATAGATACATCTCTATTACTTTATCCTGGAGTGTTTTATCAGAGGAGCATAAAAATGGGCAGTTAAAAACATAAATTTTCCCTCTTGGTGTGATGCTGTACAGGTCTCTGTAAAAAGTCCTTGCTGTCTCAGCAGTCAGTCAACTTACGGTTTATTTTTTTCTGGGTTTTTGTTTTGTTTTCTTTCTAATCGAGGTGTGAAAAAGTTCTAGGTTCAGTTGAAGTTCCTGGTGAAGAAACACAATTGAGATTTTTTCAGTGATAAAATCTGCATATTTGTATTTCAAACAGTGTAGCTAAAACTTCATGTAAATTCCTCCTTTTTTCCTTTTTTGGCTTAATGAATATTATTTATTCAGTATGAAATCTTTATGTCCCACGTGTTAAGAATAAATGTATATTAAATCTTGGTTAAAAAAAAACCATAACACTTCCATGTTGAAAGGTTTTGGTAATCAGAGTTCTGTTGTATACATAATGAAAATGGGGGTAAGGATGAGATGGTGGACAGAGAAGACACTGGCCAATTTTTAAAAATTTTTATTTTTTAAATCTTTCTGAGATGTACTTCGGCCTCTTGCCTTTTTACCTCGGTTTTCATTAGCATGTGTGGTGTCCTTCAATCCAAAGCCTCCTGTCCCACTTCTAAATTTCTTACCGGAGAGTGGTCTTTGTTTCAGCAATACCTTTTCTTTCCCCTTTTTATCAAAACAAAATGCATTCATTACAGCTTTATCACATTGTGTTTGATGAAAATTGGTTGTTCCTGTGTGAATGGATTAGGTCATCTGAATCACAAGAGGTTCTGGGTCTGGAATATAATTGGCCAAGTTTTACAGCAGGGGATATATCAGTACTGTTTCTTTTTTTTCTTCCAGTTGAGTTTCCTGGAAGTAAAACCAGGAATATGAACATTATTTAAGCACCATTCTATTCATTAGTTCTTCCTTTGCTGTCCCTCCCCTCTCATTGCATCCTTTCACCCACGTCTCTCAGGGCCCCCCACCCCCCACACACGTCTTGGAGAAAGTTTCTGGTTTATTACTTGCCTTGGGAGTAGAGACTTAAAATAGATTCCTAAAAGCTACAGAGTTGTCTCTTTCATTTGGAAACGTCTGTTAGTGATTTTCTTTCTTTTATTATTATTATTATTATTATTTAAGATTTTATTTATGTATTTGACAGAGAGAGAGACAGTGGGAGAGGGAACACAAGCAGGGGGAGTGGGAGAGGGAGAAGCAGGCTTCCCGCTGGGCAGGGAGCCTGATGCGGGCCTCGATCCCAGGACCCTGGGATCATGACCTGAGCCGAAGGCAGACGCCCAACGACTAAGCCACCCAGGCACCCCTGTTAGTGATTTTCTAAGAAAACCAGTTTATGCTTGCAAACCTCTAATGACCATGCATGATCTACTCTTATTTTGCTCTGTGTCTAGCACATGATGAAGATAAGCCATGACGTGGTTAAGCGCTGGGTCAACGAAGCCCAAGAAGCGGCTTCCAGTGACAACATTATGGTCCAGGTACTGCCATTGAATCATATTGGGTCTTGAGACCAGCTTTCTTTAACCGTCCATCTTAGGGGCAATGTATTGACTTCCCAGATGTGTACTAGCTAAAGGCTAATATTGAGCAGCCTATTAGTACATATTCTCAAGTAGATATCGCACTGATTAGAATTACTGTCTGAGACCCTGCGAGTGTTTTGTAAAAGCTGTAGGAATGTTCAGGAAGGATTCTTACATTCAGCGGTAGTTGGAGATGCTCATTCCAAAGGTCCTTCATGCTGCATTTCTGTCCTTTATTTGAAAAACAGTTTGTGATGAAGGATGTCTCAATTCTAAGCTTTTCAGAACTTGGTTATGGTAGACATTACACAAACAGTGAAGAGTAATTTTTATTTTGTGAAACTTAAAAACCATCTTGTTGGAAAGATCTTTTGATATTCATTAATTCCTAATTAAAAGGAACAAGATTAAAATCTTAATTGGCAATTTTGTGTACTTGAGAGGATACTTACTCATCCCCTTTCTGTGTTTATAACTTCTCATGTTAGCGTATTTAGTTATGCGGAAATTGAGTAGTAATTTTTCCCTCAAGAAACATTCTAGCTCTCTTAACTCTGATCATTGTGTTTTTACACAAAGTGCCACGATAATTACACTCCTTAAGCCTGCTTTAGGAGATTACTCCTTTAACTACTAACATGGCCACAGATGACTTAAAGCCACTAACAGAGACCTGTGACACTGGTAAAGCCTGGGACCCGAGAGCCTTTGTACTCAGGATGTGTGGGGCCATGCTGAACCTGCTAGAGCCGTCTTCAGATTGTATGTCACCTCTTTGATACTACTTGTGCAGTCTGAATCTTTGATTTCTGGGGGTGAAACTCATAAGAGTTTCAGCCTTGCCTGTGTTCGGTTCAGTACGAAAAAGGTATTCTATTTGTATACATTTGACGTGGGTATCTTTTTACTAAAGTGCCATATGATTTTATTTTCCTGGGAGTTTGTCCTCTTCCTCCTCAGCTTTCTGTGTGTTACATCCTTTTTCTCGTCCTTTAGTATCACGCATTGGGAGTCCTGTATCACCTTAAGAAGAATGATCGCCTTGCTGTTTCTAAGATGTTGAATAAATTTACTAAATCCGGTCTCAAATCACAGTTTGCTTACTGCATGCTGATCCGAATTGCCAGTCGCTTACTAAAAGAAAACGAAGAGGGGTAAGTGTCTTCACCTAAACCTAAGTAATTTTCTGTTTGCTGGTTGACCTACTTCCAAGTTTATTTCCTTTATGAATGTTTGGGTAGCGCCGATTTTACAGATTTGGTGTTTTCCAAATTAAGAAAATTCATGGGGTTCTAAGTAATGCAACTTTTTTTTTTTTTTTTACCTTAATGTATGCTCTGGTATATGTATTTAATAGATTACGATTGCCAACAATAAGAAACTGATATTGAACAAAAAATACTTAGAGATCATAAGATGTGCAGTAATGTGAAAGCTGGAAGTGACATGAAGAATCTTGCTTGTTCCTTTTGTTTTTTTTTTAAAGAATATTGAAGTGCTGCATTTAATGATTTATTTATTTAAAGGGCGTGAAGGAGGAAAAGAGAATTCCACATTTGTAAGGCTCTTATATTGTTCATGAAGTAGTGTTATGTTATTTGATGGTAGACTGTGATAATATAAGGATGAATATTGTAATCTCTTAAGTAACCACTAAAGAAAAACATAGGAGGTGTAGCATAAATGTCAACAGAGAAGATAAAGTGGAATATTAAAAAAATATTTGGTTGAGCTTCCTGCTTCTGATAATGGTGGAGTAGCTTGGTCACATTAGCCCACTGCAAATACTTATGTCATTGGTACAAAACTTTGCCTCCCCCCAAAAGTAGGAAAACCCACCACTATTTGAAAGTACTGGTGAGTGGTAAAAAGTAGGCAAAAACTGGAAGGAAGTTGATATCTGAGAAGCAGAGGCTATACTAGGTGAGATTTGTGTATTTCTGGATAGTCTCCAGAGATCCCGCAGTTCCTAGATGTGGGATCGCAGAAAGCCATAGTATTTACTGGACAGAGGGGTCAGAATATAGTTTGAGATGGGAAGAGTGATGAAAACCTATGGTGGAAATCCTGGAAAGGAGGGAACCACAGTTGGGATAAGCGCCCAAATCAATTTCAAACTCTGCAAAACTCCATGGTTGACCATGGTTTATACGTGGAGAGGGGAAAACTCTAGGAAACCTGACAAACAGTAGCTGTGAACCAAAAGCACTGAGTGGAGATTCAGCTGTGCCTCACTCACAGCCAAAGAGATGAAGTTTGGAGTTTGAGCCAGCCAACTGCCTGCTAGAGAAACATCAAATTTCTAGAGTCTTTGCATCCTGTCATTCACGATGTTTATATACAGTAAAAAACTGATAGAAGTGCAAAGAGTTCGGAAAATGTGACCAGTAGTTAAGAGAAAAAGCAGTCAACAGACACTGACTCTGATATGTCCTGGACATTGGAATTAGCAGACAAGAACTCTAACAGGTTTATAAAAGATGCTTTCAAGAGTTTAAATGGGAAGTAGTTATAACGAATGAGCAGGGAAAATGAAAACTATAAGAAGGAACTAAAAAGAAATTCCAGAGCTTTAAATTCCTTGTTAGTCAGAATTCAACCAGAAAAGCAGAACCCATAGCAGATAAATATATAAAGAGATTTATTACAAGGAACTGGCATTTGCAATTTGGGAGCTTGCTAAGCAAGTCCAAGATCCTTAGGGCAGGCTGTTGGGAAGGGAGGATATCACAGGCAGGTGGGAACTCATGGGCACAGGCTGAAGCTGCTGCCCACTGGTGGAATTTGTCATCTCACATTTTACTATAAGCAGCAAGATGAAACTAGGTCACACCTTCAACACTTTCCTTGGAAATTCCCTCGAGTCAGGTTCATCATCTACAAGTTATGGTTTCCACAAAACTGCAGGACACAATTTCGCTAATCTGTCCACTAACCTATAACAAATATCCACTTTACTCCAGTTTACAATAACTTCTTCCTTTTGTGCTCTTACAGGATCCTCCAAGACTGGATTTCCCCCCTCCCCTCACCTCCCTCCTTCCCTTCCTTCCTTCCTTTTTAATTCCAGCATAATTAGCATACAGTGTTCTATTAGTGTCGGGTGTACAATATAGTGATTCAAGAATTCCATACATCACCCAGTCCTTATCAGAACAAGTGCAGTCCTTAGTCCCCATCACCTGTTACCCCATCCCCCACCCACTCCCCTCTGGTAACCATCAGTTTGTTCTCTATAGTTAAGAGTCTGTTTCCTTTCCTCTTTCTTTTGATCATTTGTTTTATTTCTTAAATTCCACATATAAGTGAAATCATATATTTTTCTCTGACTTATTTCACTTAGCATTATACTCTTGAGCTCCATCCATGTTGTTGCAAATAGAAAGATTGCACTCTTCCTTATGGCTGAATAATATTCCATTTTGTGTGTGTGTGTGTGTGTGTGTGTATTCACACCCTGTCTTCTTTATCCATTGATCTGTCGATAAACACTTGGGCTGCTTCCATAATCTGGTTATTGTAAATAAGGCTGCAATAAACATAGGGGTGCATGTATCCTTTTGAATTAGTGTTTTTGTATTCTTTGGGTAAATACCCAGTAGTGTGATTAATGGATCATGGGGTATTTCTATTTTTAACTTTCTGAGAAACCATAAACTCCATATTGTCTTCCGTAGTGGCTGCACCAGTTTGCATTCCCACCAACAGTGCATGAGTGTACCTTTTTCTCCACATCCTCACCAACACTTGTTGTTTCTCATGTTTTTGATTTTAGCCATTCTGACAGATGTGAGGTGGTATCTCTTTGTGGTTTTAGGTTGCATTTCCTTGGTGATGAGTGATGTTGAGTATCTTTTCATGTGTCTATTGACCATCAGTATGTCTTTGGAGAAATGTCTTTTCATGTCTTATGCCCATTTTTAATTGGATTATTTGTTTTCTGAGTGTTGAGTTTTAGAAGTTCTTTATATATTTTGGATACTAACCCTTAATCAGATATGTCATTTGCAAATAACCTCTCCCATTTAGTAGGTTGTCTTTTAGTTTTGTTGATTGTTTTCTTTGTTGTGCAGAAGACTTTCATTCTGATGATAATCCCTATAGTTTATTTTTTGCTTTTGTTTCCCTTGCTTTAGGAGACATATCTAGAAAGATGTTGTTATAGCCAATGTCAGAGAAATTACTGTTTGTGCTCTCTTCTAGGTTTTTTTATGCTTTCAGGTCTCTCATTTAGGTCCTTAATCCATTTTGAGCTTATTTTTGTGGATAGTGAAAGAAACTGGTCCAGTTTCATTCTTCTGCATGTAGCTGTCCAGTTTTCCCAACACCATTTGTTGAAGAGACTGTCTTTTTCCCATTGCATATTCTTGCCTCTTTTGTTGAAGATTAGTTGACCTTATATTTGGGGGTTTATTTTTGGGCTTTCTATCCTGTTCCATGAATCTGTGTATCTGTTTTTGTGTCACTACCATACTGCTTAGATTGCTACAGCTTTGTAGTATAACTTAAAATCTGGAATTGTGATACCTCCAGCATTGTTTTGTTTCGGAGTCTTTTGTGGTTCCATACATATTTTAGGATTGTTTGTTCTAGTTGTGTAAAAAATGCTGTTGGTATTTTGATAGGGATTGCATTAAATCTGTAGATTGCTTTGAGTAGTACGGACATTCTAACAATATTTGTTCTTCCAATCCATGAGCATGGGATATCTTTCCATTTGTGTTGTCTTCAATTTCTTTCATCAGTGTTTTATAATTTTCAGAGTACAGGTTTTTCACCTCTTTGGTTAAGTTTATTCCTAGATATTTTATTATTTTTTGGTGCAGTTTTAAAGGGATTGCTTTAATTCCTTTCTGTTTATTATTAGTGTATAGAAATGCAGTGGATTTCTGTACATTGAATTTTTTCACATTGCGACCTTATGGAATTTATCAGTTCTAGTAGATTTTTGGTGGAGTCTTTAGGGTTTTCTATATATATGCAAATAGTGAAAGTTTTACTTCTTCCTTACTAACTTGGATTCCTTTTATTCCTTTTTCTCATCTGATTGCTGTGGCTAGGACTTCACCAGTACTATGTTGAATAAAAGTGGTGAGAGGGACCTTGTTCCTGATCTTAGGGGAAAAGCTTTCAGTTTTTTACCATTGAGTATGTTAGCTGTGGGTTTTTCATATATGGCCTTCATTATGTTGATGTATATTCCCTCTAAGCCTACTTTGTTGAGGGTTTTTTTCATGAATGAATGTTGTACTTTGTTGGATGTTTTTTCTGCATCTATGAAGTGATCATATGGTTTTTATCCTTTTTATTATTGATGAGATCTATCACCTTGATTGATTTGCAAATATGTAACCACCCTTATATCCTGGGAATAAATCCCACTTGATTGTGGCAAATGATTTTTTTTTTTAACCATTTTGGATTGTTGGATTCAATTTGCCAATATATTTTTTTAAAGATTTATTCATTTATTTTAGAGAGAGAGTGCATGCAGTCACTAGGTGCCCTGATCTGCTAATATTTTGGTAAGGATTTTTGTGTCTGTGTTAATCACAGATAGTAGTACATTTTTTGTAGTGCCTTTATCTGGCTTTTGGTATGGGGGCAATATAGGCCTCAGTTTTCCTTCCTCTATTTTTGGAAATAGTTTTGGAATATTTTAATAGTTTTAAACATTCTTTAAACGTTTGGTAGATATGAAGCCATCTGGTCCTGGACTTTTGTTTGTTGGGAGTTTTTTTTATTATGGATTCAATTTCATTACTGGTAGTCTGTTTAAGTTTTCTATTTCTTCTTAATTGAGTTTTGGAAGGTTATGTTTCTAGAAATTCATCCATTTCTTCTAGGTTGTCCAATTTGTTGGCATATACTTTTTCATAATATTCTCTTGCAATCCTTTGTATTTCTGAGATGTCGGTTATTATTTTTCCTCTTTCATTTCTGATTTTTTTTTTTGAGTCCTCTCTTTTGATGAGTCTGGCTAAGGGTTTACCAATTTTGTTGATCTTTTCAAAGAACCAGCTCTGGTTTCATTGATCTGTTCTATATTTTAGTTTCTATATCATTTATTTCTGCTCTAAACTTTATTTCCTTCCTTCTACTGGTTTTAGATTTTTTCTGTTTCTGCCTCCTTTAGATGTAAGGTTAGGTTGTT